CTGGAGCAGATCCCGTGAGTGCCCGGGGAGGGCCGGGCTCCAGGCAGAGACCCGGAGGCTGCAGTGTGTGGGAGAGAAAACCCAAGGAAGGCGTGGTTGGCAGGGAAGGCAGCCCTGATGGGGCTCAAGATTCAGGGCGTAAACTGCCTGCAGGCGGTGCGAGCCCCGGGGCCCTGGAGCCGGCAGAGCCCACAGGAGCCCTCCTCACCGCCCTGCCCTCTCTCGCCCAGGGGCATGGTGGTGGTGGCCGACAAGACCGCGGAGCTCTACGAGAAGACCTACTGGGCCAGCTACAACATACCGTAGGCGTCCCTCCTCACCTCCTGTGTCTGCCCCGCCCCCTTGCCCAGCTCTCCCCGCTGTCAGGGGCCCTGCAGAGCCAAAACCCACCCCACCCCTTCTCTGGCCCGGGAAGCCTTGGCGGTGTGGGGTACAGCGTGGTGCTTAAGTCAGCATCCGTATGACTTCCCGTCTGCAGGGTGATGGGGGTGAGCCGTTGTGGGCGCTGACCCCACCATGGCTCCCCCCGCTGGGTCCCCTTTAACTGGCTGCTCCTCCATCCCCTCGGGACCTCACTGGGCTTCACCTGGGTGATGTCGTTTGGTCCTTAGACTGTGCTAGCCACAGCTCCTGTCCCCATTTCACAGAGGGCAACACTGAGGCCCCGAGAGAGTGCCTTTTCCCAAGGCTCCCTAGCTGGGTGGTGATGAAGCGAGGGTTGGGAGCAGGTCTCTTGGGCCCCCTGAGCCTGAGCTGGCCACCCCGCCAGGCCACCCCCCAGCACAAACAGGTCATTGTTGCTGTCCTGCCCGCCCCTCTGCCTCCCGGCCGCCGCCAGGCGAGGTGAGTGGGGGCCGTGAGTGACCGCTCTCATCCCCGCAGGTCCTTTGAGTCCGTGTTCAACGCCAGTGGGCTGCCGGGCCTGGTGGCCCAGTACGGGGACTGGTTCTCCTACGACAGGAACCCTCGGGCCCAGATCTTCCGGCGGGACCAGTCGCTGGTGCACGACGTGGACTCCATGATCCAGCTGATCAGGTGCGTGGGGGACAGCGAGCCCAGAGGCACGTGGCACGCCCTGTGCTGTTCACTGTCACTCAGACCTCACAGCACACCTGGGCCGGCAGGGGTGTGGCCCCACTCAGCGTGCGTCCCGCCGGCCGGGACACTGACCTGCCGCTGCGTGAGCGCCCTGTGCTGGGCGCTGGGCTTGGTACTGGAGACGCAGGTCCCCCACTGTCCTCAGGGCCACCCTGTCCGTGTGTGGGGATGCACCGAGCACACCGAGCGATGCGTAACAGGACTGTCGGGCCCCAGAAATGCTCTAGTGGGACAGAGGGTCTCTCCTCGGAGGACGGAGGGCGGGGTGATGAGGTGGAGGGGGAGGGACCCCAGCAGCGGGAGGGCTGGTTCGCTGAAATCAGGGACTGTGTTCTGGGGCTGCTGCCAGGAGGAGTTTGGTCCTCACCCCCCCACCCCCTTCCCAGCACGACCGGTCCCTCCCTTCCCACATCCAGGTACAATGACTTCCTGCACGACCCCCTGTCACTGTGCAAGGCCTGCAGGCCGCAGCCCAACGGGGAGAACGCCATCTCGGCGCGCTCCGACCTCAACCCGGCCAACGGCTCCTACCCGTTCCAGGCGCTGCAGCAGCGCTCCCACGGGGGCATCGATGCCAAGGTCTGCCAGGGCCCGGGGCTGTGGGTGGGCCCGGTCACCGTGATGGCTGGGGAGGGGGTGGGGTGCAGGCTGGGCCAACGCAGATGGCAGGGCGGAGTCAGGGTCAGAATCAGGCTGGGGGTGGTCCAGGCTCGGGTGGGTGCCGGGGCCCCTGGGTTGGGTTGGCTTGGAGCCCAGCCTGGGCCGACACTCAGCCATCTGCTCTGCCCCGCCCCCAGGTGACCAGCATGGCCCTGGCCAAGGCCTTGCGCCTGGTGGCAGTCAGTGGCCCCACGTGGGACCAGGTGCCCCCTTTCCAGTGGAGCACCTCGCCCTTCAGCGGCCTGCTGCACATGGGCCAGCCCGACCTCTGGAAGTTCGCGCCTGTCAAGGTCTCCTGGGACTGAGGCCGCCTCTGCAGCCGCCGTGACCTCCGGCCCGTCCCATCGTGGCCTTTGCCCCCTGTTGTGCCCAGAGCGGGACCCGGGCCTGCCAGGTTCATGCTCATCTGGGCACCTCCTCCTGGGTGGGGCGCGGGACTGACTCCCTCTCAGGAGTGGGTGAGTGCCATTCTGTCTCCTCCGCCTCTGCCTCTGTCTCCTTCTTTTCCCTGTTCTCTCTCTGTTCTCTCTGCTTCTCCCCCGACCCCCTAGTGCTGCCCGTGCGGAGGGACCAGGTCTGGGGGGCCCCGTGGGTTTGAGCCCAAGGCCTGGGTGTTCCTGTGGCTGGCGCCGATCCCTGCCCCAGCTCCCCGCCCCCTCGGGAAACAGCCGTGTCCCCACTGGACAGCTCCCTCCAGGACGGAAACGAACGCAAACACAAACAAACCAAAGTTCCTGGCGACTGTGGCTGAGGCCCGAGGGTCCTCTCTCCAGGACCAGGCAGGAGTGTCACGCCTGCTCCAGCCTCATGCCCGCCCCAATGTGGGCGTGCCCCTGGCCTCAGGCAGTGCCCACGGCTCCCCTGCTGCAGGTACCAACTCGCAGGCTGTGATGATTAAACGAGAGAGGCTGTGCCCTGTGCTGTGCTTTTGGGCAGTGGGGAAGGCTGGGTCCGTGCCTTTTCTCAAGACTGGGATCTGCACTGTCCTCCAAGCGTCTTCCTGTCCATCCTTTTGTCTGTCCATCTATCCATTTATTTGCCAACCCACCCACCCATTGTCCATCTACATATTTATCCACCCATCTATCCATCCATACCCACCCATCCACCCACATATCACCCATCCACCCATCTCTCTATCCATCTGTTTTCCAGTCATCCATCCATCCATCCATCCATCCATCCATCCATATACCCATTCATCCATTCATCCATCCACCCATATATCCATCAATCCATCTATCCACCCATTCATCCAGTCATCCATCCATCCATTCATCCATCCACCCATATATCCATCCATCCATATACCCTTCCATCCATCCATCCATCCATCCATCCATCCACCCACCCACCCACCCATATAACCATTCATTCATTCATCCATCCATCCATCCATCCATCCATCCACCCACCCATATACCCATCCACCCACCCATATCCATCTGATGTTTATTGAGCACCTACTTTGTTCTGGGTCCTTTTCTGGGATCTGTTAACCATAAGAGCTCCCCAAGTCCTACTGTGGGGTACAGAGCAACACCAAGCAGGGTCCCGCCCTGTCTGTTCATACCCACAAACCCACACTGGAGATGAGACTTGCCCAGTGCTGTGTGCCTGGAGAGAGGAAAGCACCCGCCCTGGAGCCGGAGACCTGAGTTCAAATCCTGTCTCCCTCTCCTACTCGCAGTGGGGCCTGACCTCTCTGGGCCTGGGTTCCTCCTCTGAGAAATGGGGTGAGGATGTGACCAGCACTTTGGGGGGTGGTGTGTAAAGATTCGCCGCCATGGTGGCTGAGACCCCCTCAGCATTCACTCACCAGCAAGCCTTACCCACCACTTAGCACATGCCAGGGCCTGTGTACGACCCTGTGGCTGCCTTATAACTAAAGGCACAAAAAAGTCCCTGCTCTAGGGAGGGTGACGTCGGCGAGGGAGTCAGAGGAGTAAATAACACGGGTCTGCACGATGCTGAGACATGGTCTGGAGGAAGTCCAGGCTGGGAGGCTCAGTGATGGGGGTCCTCCAGGGCCGTTCTGTCGGGAGGGCGACTCCAGGCTTCCCCCCGGCATGATTCTGGCCCCTCCGCTTCCTGGGAGGCGGACAGCCATGTAGCTGAGATGTTTCTGAACAGAGGTTGGGGCGTCATGCCTGGTGGCCCACTGGGGCTTCCACTGACCCGGCCAAGACAGGACCCACCACTGCAGAGGCTGCCGGAGAGGCCGCTGCTCTCGGCACCTGCGCCCTGGAGTTTCCCACAATCCTCAGCTCCACAGTGGCAGCTGCTGCTCCGCGTGGCCTCTGCCCTTCCCTGATGGACAGGTGTCTGGCAGCTGGTTGGCCATAGCCCCTTGTGCCTAGGATCCTCCTCTAGTGGGCAGAGGGGGCTGCCTTGCCTCGTGGGGGTTCCGCGCCCCTCCAGGCGGGACCGTGGGAGCTGGAAGCTGTCCCACCGGGAAGGAGCAGGTTTCCCGGGCTGGGCCCCATGTAGTCCCACTCTATCCCCAGGGGCTATTCTGGGGCCGTGGGGCTGAGGTGTTTAAAACACGCATGGAGACCGGAAGGCCTGAGGCTGGTGTGGGCTGAGGGCGGGTTTTCCACTCCTTCCCAAATCTCAGCCTCAGCTCGTTGTTGGGGTGGGTGGGGGACCCTGCCAGCCTGGGCTCATTGCCTGGTGTCCAGAGAGATTAGAGTGGTCTCCAACTTCGCTTTGAACTTGGGGATCCAGTTAGGTGGCCAGCAGCTGCTATCGGGGGTTCGGGGACATTCCTGAGGGGCGATGGGGCCCCTCCCAGCCCTTGAGGCTCCTGCCTCCTTGAGAGAGGGCTTCATGTTTCAGAGGGTTTGCCTGACACTGACTTTGCCTCTACTCCTTCCCTGTCCCTGAGATGATTGTCCAGTGTCGGGGTACACACCCCCAGGGATGGGGGCTCACTACCTGCTCCCCGTAGTTCTGGGATTAAACCACTCTTCCCTGGCCCCACCCAAGCCCCTCTTGTTCAGCGCCACCTCCCTCACCGGCTTCCTGCCCTCTGGCATGCAAGCCCAGCTGGTGGCGGGGGGGGGGGGGGGGGTGGTGGTGGTGGTGGTGGTGTCTTGAGTTTCATGTGGGGCCCCAGGGTTCCTGGGGCTGGAGGTGGCAGTTGGGGGTGCTCACTGCTGATAGCAGGGCTGGGAGCAGGCGTGATGGGGTGGGAGGAAGGAAGGGAGGAAGACAGTGATGATGGAGAAACTCAAAGGCTCTTTGCGTCATAAATACTTATTTTTCAATGAAAATGTGTGCACATTAGAAAAATGGGTAAGGGTGGGGGTGGGCTTCCTGGGAGTAAAATAAAGACGGTTCCTCAGCCTGGGCTGCGGGCCTGTCCACCTCCCCAGGTGGAGAGCCTGGTGGGCACACGCTGCTCCCGGGGGGAGCCTCCGGTGTGACCTCGGTCCCTCGCGCCCACCCTGCTCTGGGGACCGGGTATGTTACATGAGGGCAGAGTCGCCCCGGCAGGGGTGGCCAGGGACGGTCACAGGGCAGTCACACAGGCAGCAGGGGGTCAGTCAGCCTCGCTGGCCGCTGACACCCACCCCTCCCCCTGCCTCGACTGCGAAGCATGTTCCCCTCCGCCCCATGGGCTCGTGGGTACAAGCAAGCACCGACTGGCCTGGCCGCAGGCTCGCGACCAGACACAAGCATAATATGTACAATGAGGTGCTGGGTCACACTCCAGCCTGGCAGGGGTCTCCCGGGGCCGGGAGACCTTCACTTGGGCGGCGCATTCTACATGCCCAGCTGCTTCTTGAGGTCCTGCAGCTGGGTCAGACTGATGTTGCTGCCCCCACAGACGATGATTATGATTGAGGACAGCGGGGTGCGAAGCTTCCCTTCTCCTTGCAGCTTCTGAACCACGTTGCTGTAGACAGCGGCCAGGGCTGCCCCGCAGGCTGGCTCCACCAGGATCTTCTCGTCATCTGCCAGGGGACAGGGCGGGAGGGCGATTGGTAAAGCCCGGGGGTGAGGAGCCAGTCCGCTCAGCCCTGGCCACACTCAGGTCCTTCCATCACTTTCCTGACCGCCCAAGCCCCGAGCGAGGTCCCATCATTAGCGCTGACACGGATGGAAGGGCTGTCATCGCCTGCGCAGTGTGGTGAGAAGGGCTCTGAGGCATCATCTGAGCGAGAGTGCCATGGTCATTAGCCAGACTGACTGCTGGGACAGGAGATGAAGTGGCAGCCTAAGTGCTACCGTGTGTGTGTGTGTGTGTGTAACCCTCCTTATCCTGGGCTGAACCCAGAGAGTCCAACCTAGTTACAGACCCCATTCTGAATCCATCACTGAGGCCTAGACTTTCCCTTTTTACCCTGGCTGCCAGGAAGCTCAGAACGAACATTTAAAAATAGTTATGATTCCCTGCTTTCCGGTTATCAGGCTTCTTCATTTGTGCCTTTGGCCTTTCTATTTTTACTACTGCATCGTATTCAATGGGGAGTCCTAGGAAGGGGATGGGAGACAGATCTGTGGATAAACCTGCAGCGATGGAATCCCCTGGCATACCAAGTAGCCAGGACAGCCACTTGGTTCCTGAACCAGCAGGTTGGGTCTCGAAAGGACTTGGCACATACCCACAAACTTCTCAATGGCGGCCACAGCCTCCTGGTCGGAGATAACTTCCGAGAAAATGGGGTATTCCTGAAACAGCTTCAGGGCTTGAGCCCCCACGGTCCTCACACACAGAGCCTTGGCCACACTGCGGGGGGGGGGGGGGGGGAGGGTGCATGGAGAATAGGAATGGGGGAAACAGGTAGGAGAGAGGAGGGACGTGGAGATCAGAATAGAGCGGGAGAAAGAAACAAGGTTGGATGTGAGAGGGAGGAGGGACTGGGGTCCATGGGTGTGGGGGCGGGGTGCCCTCTGTAGCTACAGTCCCAGGGGCCTCCCAAACAGAGTGGGGGCTTCTAATGAGACTGCTGGAATGGGGGCAAACGGCATCATTTCTGTTCAACTTGACTCATGAGCAAACACCTGCAAGGCCCCTTGTGCTTCCCTGACAGGACTCCCAGCCTCAGCTCCAGGTTGTCACCTTCACCTGCCCAAGTCCCATCCTGTCCTTCAAGGCTCAGGATTAAGGCTGCCTCCTCCAAGGAGTCCTCCAGGGGGTGCACTCAGTCCCATGGCCCCAGGTGGAATTCTCAAATGATCCTCCCCATATCTCTCTCTCTCACACACACACACACACACACACACACACCCACACACCCCCCACTTCTCGAGGAAGCGTTCGGTGCCATTCATTCCCACAACAATTCTTACAGTTCATTGGTTCAATTTCACAGAAGGGAAGACTGAGGCAGAGCATGAGCCGTCACTTGGCCAGGGAGCCGTGGTGCCGGGACTGCAAACGGGACCCGTATACCTCCAGGCCCTGCCCGGCAACCAGGCTCCCCAGGGACGGCCCTGGTTCTGCTCCCAGCTCACTCCCCCTTCGCCCACGGCACCTCCTGGCCTGGGCCGGCTCAGCCCTTAGGCCAGCACATGGCCCATCGGAGGTGCTCAACGACGGCTCCGTCCTCCCAGCACTGTAGGAGCCGGCCCGCACGACAGCTCCGGTGCTGGGCTCAGGAATCAGGAGTTCTTCCCTCGGCTCAGTCTGCCCGTCTGTGGCAGAGAGCTGTCCCGGTGGTCGGCAAACCGCAGCTCGCGAGCCACATGCGGCTCTTTGGCCCCTTGAGTGTGGCTCTTCCACAAAATACCGACTTGTGCGCACGGGCCACGAAGTTTCAATCGCGCTGTACGTGCGCGCCCGCACGTGGTATTTTGTGGAAGAGCCACACTCAAGGGGCCAAAGAGCCGCATGTGGCTCGCGAGCCGCAGTTTGCCGACCACTGGCTATTCTAGCTGCACACGGCGACAGCTGGTAGGAAGACATTTCCCAGCCTCCCTTGCAGCAGGTGTGGCCATGTGACTGAGTTCTGGCAATGAGAGGAAAGTGGAATACTGTGTCTATCTTTAAAGGGAGGGGCTTAGCTTCTGCCCTGCTTCTGCCAGATGGAGTGTGGGGGTGAGGGTTGGCACTGAGGCAGCTATGTTGGCCCATGAGGCCACATAATAAGGACGACGGAGAACAAACAAGGGGCCTGGGCACCTGGCTTCATAGAGCTGCCCCTGGATTGCCTCCCTCTAGACTTTTCTTTGTTTAATAGGAGAGGAAATAAAATTCAATCTCGTTTAAATCACTGTCTGGATTCCTATATAAAGCAGCCAAACCTAACCCTAAGTAAACACCATGTGCCAAAGGTTTGGGCTGGGATATGAACTCCGTGGGAGCAGGAGCCGTGTTGATCCACCTCTCTCCCCACATCAGCCGGGGTCTTGCACATGTTAGGGGCTCGGTAAATGGCTGGCAAACGAATGAAGAGTGCAGCCCGGCTGGCATGGCTCAGTGGTTGGTCATCCACCTATGAATCAGGAGGTCACGGTTTGATTCCCGGTCAGGGCACATGCCCGGATTGTGGGCTCAGTTATGGGGGCGTGCAGGAGGCAGCCGTTCGATGATCCTCTCTCATCATTGATGTTTCTATCTCTCATTCTCCCCTCCTCTCTGAAATCAATAAAAAATACATATTAAGCCCTGATCAGTTTGGCTCAGTGGATAGAGCGTCGGCCTGCGGACTGAAGGGTCCCGGGTTCAATTCCAGTCAAGGGCATGTACCTTGGTTGCGGGCACATCCCCAGTAGGGGGTGTGCAGGAGGCAGCTGATTGATGCTTCTCTCTCATCAATGTTTCTAACTATCCCTCTCCTTTCCTCTCTGTAAAAAATCAGTAAAATGTATATTTAAAAAAATACATATTAAAAAATTCAAGGAAGAGTGCAAAACCCTGCCACAGAGGAACTCAATACAGGATGAATATTTGCCGTTTTTGCATGAGGAAGTGTGACGTTCATGGTTCAGGGCCATGCAGACATGGGCTCAGTTCCGCGGGACCGACCGCTCACTGTCTGTGGGCTCTGGGCAGGTGAATAGAGCCTCAGTTTCCTTACCTATAAAAGGGGGCGCCAGGACCTACCTGCAGCCAGCACCAAGTGGGTGCTGAACCCCTGATGAAGGCAGCTCACCTGGTAACCTGGTCCAGAGGGACGAGCTTGCCCACAGAGGTGGCAACGTGGAAGCTGTGGGCTCCCTTGGTCTCCATGGCGATGATGGGCACGTCCCCCCAGCCCACCTCCTGCAGCCCCTGGACCACTCCGCACAAGAGGCCGCCGCCCCCCACCGACAGCGCGATGACCCCCGGCTTTGCGCTCAGCGTCTCCTTCAGCTCCTTCACGATGGAAGTGTGGCCGTCCCTGGAGGGTGGGGGAGGGACCGGGTCAGGGCTGGGGCCCTGGGGACACTGGGCAGGTGTTCTCTGCTACTTGTCCTTGGGGCTGGTCTCCTTCCTGACTTCCAGCTGCCAGCATCTGCACCTCTACCTGGAGGCTCCCGTTGGCCCCTGGCACTGCCTCTGTGTGACCCCTGGCTGTGTGGACAGGTGACAGCCCTGAGGACACCCCTACGCAGGGCCTGTGTGAGTGAATAAGCACCCAGCACCCTTTCCCGCCGCTGGGTAACTGGTGCATGTTCCACTGGCTCCCAGGGGCCCCCAGGAAATCAAGCTCCAGCTGCCACAGCAGTGCCCTGCCCAGGAGAGCCCGTTCGAGGCGTCTTTCCTGCCTCATCTCCCGTCCCCCTCCGCTCAGGAATCACCTCCCAAGTCAATGGCTTTCCCTGAAATCCTGGTCTTGGGACCTGCTCCCGGGCACCCAGCCGCAGGCACTGGGCATCTGAGCTCACAATTGCTCATGGCCGCGGAGGATGGGCGTCGGAGCACACGTGTGTGCTGCTGGGTGACGGTGTGTGCACACACATGTGCAACTGCTGTGCATAAGAATGTGCCCACGTGCCTTGTGGCAGGCGCCCACCCAGTGGTCAGGGGGTAGTTGCCACCCTGGGCTCCATGTACCAGATAAGGGGGTCGTCGAAGGGAGAGATGAAGACCCAGTCTGAGTTGTTCTTCACCAGGGCTGTGGCCAGCTCATGGGCCTCCTCCAACGTCTGCAAGACCACAGGGGACGCGGAGGAGGTGAGCGCCCGGGGCGCCCTCCTCTGCCACCAGCTGCCCTCCGTGGTCCCCGCTCTAGGTCAGCACTCACCTCACCCACCACCTTGACCGTGGCGCCCTCACTTCTGAGCCGCTCGATGGTGAGGGCAGGTGTGGTCTTGGGCACGACGATGGTGGCGGGGATGCCCAGCCTCCTGGCCGCGTAGGCGGCCGCCATGCCTGCGTTGCCCGCTGCCAGGGGTGGTGGGTAGAGAGTGTGTCAGTTCGGGACGGCCTGGGGGCCCAACCCCCGGCCTCTGAACCCCCCTGGGTGGCCTCAGGCCTCCCCGCTGAAATTCCAAATTGGGCCTTCTGCAAACATTTGCAGCAGCTCCCAGCTCCCGGCTCCCGGCTGGGGATACCAGGGCCCAGAGAGGTGGAGCTCCTGCCCCGGGACACACAGCAGAGGGCAGGAGGAGGCGTGCAGGCCGCTTACCTGAGCAGCAGACGAAGTGTTTGCAGCCTTGCTCGGCCTTCTGCGGAGACAAGGGGAGGGGTCAGGCTGCCCCTGGGCTCTCCCCTCTCACCTGGAGTCCTACCCGCCCAGCCCCTGGGTTCTAACTGAGTGGTTTCGGAACTTTATTGCCCCAGCCTCTCAAGCGACATCTTCCCTCCCCTCCCCAGGAGCCTGGCTCAGGGAGGGAGGGAGAGGCGGGCAGCTGAGAGCTCTGGGATCAGCCCTAGGGGACCCTGGTGACGGGCACCCCTTCCCCAGAGGAAGCGCTAGTGGTGGGTGCGTGGGCCTCGCGGGCAGCCTTGCCTGGAGCTCCTAGGGTCTCCCATGGCACCGGCCCTGCCCATCGAGGAAAGAGGACCTGTCACCCTCCCCGAAGCCGTCCTGTACCTTCTGGCAGAGGTGGCCGATGCCCCTGATCTTGAAGGAGCCCGAGGGCTGGGCACTGTCTATCTTGATGTAGACGCTGGTGCCGGCCACCTTGGACAGGGCCATGCTGTCTCGGATCGGGGTCTTCACGTGCAAGGGCTCCCGGGAGGCCATCGCGGGGGAAGGGAGGGTGGAGGCGGCGGAGCCGGTGGCTGGACCAGGAGAGCGAGGGGGAGGCCGGCGGTGGTCTCGGTGGACGGGCTGGGTGGACAGCCCACGCGCGGATGGAGGGAGGGTCGATGGACAGGTAGGCTGTCTTCTGAATTGTCCCAGGGCTGCCAGGTTTTATCCTGTGAGCAGGGCTGGCCACATCCCCCGGGCCGGCCACTCCCCCTGGCCCGAGTCCTGGGGCTGCCCGGAGGGGAAAGGGAAGCTGGCCGTTCCTCCCTGGCTGCTTCCTGGCCTCTCCCTCTCCCTTTCCTATCTCTGCCCTTCCACAGCCTCAGCTTCTTTCTTTGCAAACAATTCCTCTGCCCCAAGGAAGGTGGGGCAGCCAGCCAGGAGGCCCCCAGACGCCCTGCACTAAGGCCGCCAGCAAGTGCTGGCACATCATGGGACCCGAGAAACAAACCAAGGAGGAAGCGGCTGCCACCATGCTCCCATCTCACAGGAAGGGAAGCTGAGGCGCGGATGGGAAGAGGGGTGCTCTGGCACTGGAACCAGCAGTCTGACCCCCAAACGTGCAGTCGGGACACAGCTCTTTATTTTTTAATTTTTAATATCTTTTTATTGATTTGAGAGAGAGGGCCAGGGAGAGGGAGAGAGAGATAGAAACAGCGATGAGAGAGAAACATCGCTTGGTGGCCTCCTGCACGCCCCACGCTAGGGATCAAGCCCGCAATCCGGGCAGGTGCCCTGACTATGATCGAACAGGTGTCCTCTTGGTTCATGGGTTGATGCTCAACCACTGAGCCACAGTGGCCGGGATGGACGGAGTTCTTGATCACCTCCCACGGTCATCCTTTCAGGACTCCTGTGTTATCCAGGGGCCGATGGCATCATGGGTAACACCCAGGCCGACCAGGGTTCAAATGCTGACTGCCGTTCACTAGCTCCAAGGCCTCAGCCGTCCCTGTGCCTCCTGGAGCCTCCCTCTGCCCCTCCGCTACCCCGGGAATAGAGGACAGGACAGCGCACGCATGGAAGGACCCAGAACACAGCCTTCAGCAGTGTCACCATCGTCACCATCGTCACTGTCCTCATCGTCCCAGAGCGGCAGGGCCTTCCACCGGAACTCACTCCCTGCCCAGGCCCGGCTTCCTGTCTGTCTGTCTGTGAGCAGGTGTGAGCAGGGGGTCTGTGTGTACACAGGGTGGTGCATGTACACTGCCCCCCGCCCCCCCAGCCATGGCCGGCTCTCTTCCTGGCCCCTCAACAAAGCTCTCTTGTCTGCTCGGCCCGGACAGGAATATTGATGAGACCGAGGGCAGGAGGGGGCAAACAGCCGCATAGCCGCCCCTCTCGGAGGGACAAGCTGTCCCCTCCTGCTGCCCCCCGGACCTTCCACAGGCACACGGAGCCCCTCCCCAGTGGGACGCCCCCAGGCATGTGCTGGGCACACAGGGTGCGGAGCCGCAGTGGCGTGGGCGCCCTGAAGCTCACGTGCAGGCCTGTGCGCACGGAGCGTATACAGCTGGCGCTCACGATGCCCCACGTCTGATCTCCCGCGCAGGGTTTCCCATGTGGGGTGTCACTCAATCTTCAAGCGTGAGGTGCGTGGGCGTTTTGAGCCCCATGTCCCAGGGAGAGTCAGGCTCAGGGGTGGAGTAACATTGTCACCAGGGGGCAGGGTTGAGGTGGGTCGGGCGGGCCATTAGGGGTCACCTTAGGGGTGTCAGAGGGAGGCCTGTGACATGCGGGATCCACACCGTCAGGGAGGTGGGAATGGAGGCCCCACTGTCTTACAATGTGGGGTTCTCTCCGCTGCACCGCCATCTCGCGTGATGGAAGGCGGGGCTGCACGGGCGGGAAATGCGAAGATGGGTTCCTTCTTTAGGCCTCTCTAGAGTGTTCCACGTGTTTCCACAAAAATGTGTCCCTGTTGTGATTTGAAAAAAACAAAATTAAGAAAAAAAAATAAGTCAGCCCTGGCCGCTGGGGCTGATGGGAGCAGTGGCTGGAGCGTCGTTCCGTGAGCCAGAAGGTGACGGGTTCGGTTCCTGGTCAGGTCACATGCCCAGGTGGTGGGTTTGGTCCCCGGTTGGGGAACGTATGGGAGGCAACCTATCAAGGTGCCTCTCTCACATTGATGTTTCTCTCTCCCCCTTCCTCCCTCCCTAAAGTCAATAATAAATACATAGAAAATCAATCATAAAAGAAACAAAAAGAGGGGAAAAAGACGAAACATATGTCACCGTTGTGACAGCCTGTTCGGGCATATCCTTGTCCTAAATAATAACTTTATTGAGATATAGTTCACCTCGCCTACAACTCACTCGTTTACAGAGTATCAATTTTAGGACATTTTCATCGCCCCAAGAAGAAACCCTATACCCATTAGCGGTCACTCCTCCCCTCCCAGCCCCTGTGTCACCAGTCTGCTTTCCGTCTCTATCGATTTGCCTATTCTGGACATTTCGTATCAATGGAACCGGACACTAGGTGATTTTTGTGTCTGGCTTTTCTCACGCCACATCACGTTTCAAGGTTTATCCACGTTGAAACATGTGTCGGCGCTCCATTCCGTTTTATGGCTGTAGACCAGAGGTCGGCAAACCCATTAGTCCACAGAGCCAAATATCAACAGTACGACGATTGAAATGTCTTTGGAGAGCCAAATTTTTAAAACTTAAACTATATAGGTAGGTACATTGTTATGAACTTAATTAGGGTACTCCTATGGCTTAGGAAGAGCCACACTCAAGGGGCCAAAGAGCCGCATGTGGCTCGCGAGCCGCAGTTTGCCGACCACGGCTGTTATACTATTCCATATCTGGATAGACCATATTTATTTAAGTAGGTTTTTATTGATTTCAGAGCGAGGAGGGGAGAGGAAGAGAGAGACAGAAACATCAGTGATGAGAGAGAATCATTGATCGGCTGCCTCCTGCACGCCCCACACGGGGGATCGAGCGGGACCCCTGGGCATGTGCCCTGGCTGGGAATCGCACCTCTCAATCGATGTTTAACCAACTGAGCCACACGGGCCAGGGTAGACCGCATTTCATTTATCTATTCATTCATCGGTGAATATCTGCCGTCCGGGCAGACCTTCACGTTTAAATATATAAAACGTATGTACATGTGTGCATACATGTGTGGTTCTGTCCCATCACATGGATAAGACCCCGAGAGCCTAGCAGGACCCGGGCCCCACCCACGGTCACCCTGGGGAGGAGGTGGAGCAGAACCAGGCAGATCTCGGTGTGGCAGGACACTGGCCAGTCAGCGGCTGGAGCGTTGGGGAAGGTGGCCGCTGTCGCGGTCAGGGAGGTCGGCTCGTGCCTGTGGCTCTGGCTCCCAGGCGTGTCCGATCCAGATAGGGCTGTTACATCACACCTCCCGGCAGGTGGCCCTGAGGGCGGCCGGATCACAGTGTCCTTGGCTGCGGGAGGTGGGGATTCTGACGGTTGTTTTCACACTTAGGAGGAACGGACAGCTCTCACCTCAGCTCTCACCTCTGTTTGCCCTGCCGGCCGGCGGGTGAAGCCAGCCCTGAACTCCTGGTTAGTTAAGGTACCGGCTCCTGAGTCCCTCACAGCTCGGCTGAAGCGGAAACCCAGCCGTGTAACTTCCCTTAGCGTCAGTTCCCTGCCCCGAGAGATGGGGACGGGGTAGCTACCGGGTATTTGGAGACTTAGAGACGATGGCAGACCAGTGCCAGGCACGGAGTAGGGCTCAGAGAATAGTAGGTGCTATTATGATGATCTTTGGTCTTATTATTACCAGAGGCCCGATGCGCGAAATTCGTGCAATAGTAGGCCTTCCTTCCCCCGGCTGCCGGCACCGGCTTCCCTCTGGCACCCGGGACCCGGGCTTCCCTCGCAGCCCGGGCTTCAACTGGAAGGTCGTCCGGAAGGACATCCGGTCTAATTAGCATAGTATGCTTTTATTATTACAGAAGATTATTATCCAGGACCTTTCCAGTCTTTTGGTCTCATTTTCCCGAGTCCTCCCTCCAGTCCCAGATTCTCACTCATGTCTCCTCCTGGCAAGTCTGGTTCAAGCCTCTGGGGCCCTGCAGCAGGGCAGTCCCTGGCGTCCCTCCCCAGGGGGCCAGGAGCAGCCTGAGGGCAGGTCTGCACCGACGTGTCCCCACTGGGTCCCCCACTCGCTCCTCCACCCACGCACAGGACAGTCCCTCGCAACAAAGGAATATCTGGCCCCAAATGTCAGTAGAGCTGAGGTCGGCCAGGACTTAATCCGATGTGGGTGAAAGGTATTCTGTGTAAATCTGCCACTCTGTGTCCCACCGCTATTCGCTCCACCCCGGGAGAAGTGAAAGACTTTTCTTGGTGAAATTAATACAAGCGAGTCAGGCCTCCATTGTCACGGACTTAATGCATTTAACTTCTGTGGCCCTCGCTCCTGAACTTGGCAGCGAGCCTTCCTTACTCATAGTCACTGGCTGCAGCCCATCCCTGCATCTGGCAGAGACCTCGTGGGAGCCCCTGGGGTCATTTGAGGTTGCCGTCTGCAGGGATGCCTCCCGGCTTTGCGTCTTCCCCAGATATGACCAACAGCCTCTTGGTGGGCCTTTCCGGGCAGGACCCCAGGGCACACTGGGCCTGTCCTGGGGGTTGTCACCACCCACCAATCAACACGTGATGTGTGGAACTGGCGAGGTCCAAACAGCTCATCAGGGACTTAGTCCAGAGTTCAACGAAAAATCAAGATATTTGCAGCAGGATTAAATCTCAGACCACTGACCCAGTGTGCAACAGATGAAGACTTTGATATTTTTCTTTTAAATATATTTTATTGATTTCAGAGAGGAAGGGAGAGAGAGAGATAGAAACATCAATGATGAGAGAGAATCACTGATCAGCTGCCTCCTGCACACCCCACAACTGGGGATCGAGCCCACAACCCGGGCATGTGCCCTTGGCCGGAATTGAACCTGGGACCCTTCAGTCCACAGGCCGACGCTCTATCCATTGAGCCAAACCAGCTAGGGCAGGACTTCAATATTTTTCTTTGTGATTTTTTATCAGGCTGAGTTAAGGCAATGAGGGCTGGGCTCTTCTCTCTTCTCCTCTCTCCTCTTCAAGGGTGGCAGGGACATTCAGGGGCCAAGTCACCGCGGGCAGGGTGGGGGTGCTCTCTGGTCCTC